TTATATATTTTGGATATTAACCCCTTATTAAATGTATCATTAACAAATATTTTCTCCTATTCAGTAGGTTACCTTTACATCTTATTGTTGGTTTCATTTGTTTTGCAGAAGCTGTTTAGTTTGACATAGTCCTCACTTGGGTTTTTTTTGCTTTTGGTGTGAGATTCAAAAAATCATCGCCAAGAGTGATATCAAGGAGCTTACCATCTATATTTTCTTCTAGGAGTTTTATGATTTCAGGTCTTACATTCAAGTCTTTAATTCATTTTGAGTTATTTTTTATGTATGGTGTTAAGAGAGGGGTCCAGTTTCATTCCTTTGCATGTGGCTTTCCAGTGTTCACAACACCATTTACTGGAGACACTGTCCTTTTCCCCACTGTATATTCTTGGCTTTTAAAAAAATTTTTATTCATTGATTTTTAGAGAGAGAGAAAGGGAGAAGGGGAGGCATGGTGGAAAGGAGGGGAAGGGGGGGAGGGAGATTGATTGACTGATTGCCTGATTTGTTGCTTCACTTATTTATGCATTCACTGACTGATTCTTTTATATGTCCCAAGCAGGATCAAACCTGCAACCCTGGCACACTGGGACAACACTAACCAACTGAGCTACCTGGGAAGAGTTCTTGGCTCATTTTGCAGTAAGTTTTTTAATGAGGAAGTATAAGTCCCTCAATTTTGTCACTGCTTTTCAAAATTGTTTTGGCTATTCTATATGAATTTTAGGACCAGCTTCTCAATCTCTGCAAGTCAGCTAGGATTTTGACAAGGATTGCACTGAATCTGTAGATCAATGTGCAATATCGCCAACTTAACAGTAAATCTTCTAATCCTTACACATGGATATCTTTTCATTTATTTAGGTTATCTTTAATTTCATAAATATTTCATAATTTTTAGTGTCAAGGCTTACACTAGTTTTGTTAAATTTGCTTGTAGGTACAGTAACTTAACATTGCCATTAGGTTCTGCAGTGTTAGGGAAACAATATAAATGAAACCAATTTCATCACAGACATAAGCTAATTGATATAAAAGAGTTAGGATGTACCCATTAACATTCTAAGAAATGTTACAATTCCTTATTAGTTACAATTTCTTAAAAGACATTATCAAGGACCTACTGTACTTTATTTTTTTATTATAAAAGGAATTCTTTTCTTAATTTCCTTTTTGGATGGTTCATGGGACAGTATGCAGAAATACAACTGATTTTTGTACACTGACTTTGTATTCTATAACCTTGTTGAATTCATTTATTAGGTCTAATAAGTTTTTTTGTGGACTCCTTAGGATTTTCATCATTTAAGATCAAGTTATCTGTAAGTAGAAATAGTTTTTTTTAATTACTTTCTAACCTGGATGTTTTTATGCCTTTTTATTGCCTAACTGTCCTAGGTAGGACCTCTAGCACAATGTTGAACGTAAGTGACAAGAATAGACACCTTTGTCTTGTTGATCTTAGGGGGAAAGCCTTCAGTATGTGGAACTATATCTTTGTTACAGAGAATAATGTATGTAGGGGAAAAAATAAGTTAAATTATGTTTGCCTTTCTCTTAACTATCACTAAAGATGACACAGTAGAAACATTTTCAAACAGCAAGTCCTTAAAACAAGTCCTGGCACAACATAAATACTTGTTTAATACTAACTATAATAATAATAAGCTACAATAATATTGCTGATACAGTAACATTTTTGATGAAGAGAATATAAGAAAATATCTACCTTAGTTACTCCTAGTTTCACTTTACCCGACAACTTCATTGTCATATTATCATTACCCTTTTCAGTTTCAATAACTGCATTAATTCTAAACTATATAATTATCTACATTTAAGGAGTAGTTTTCTAAATGTGGTAAAAGACCCTGAGGATTCTGGAGACCCTTTCAGGGGTTCCTTAGATCAAAATCGTATATGGGTAAAAGATCAATTAAGAAGTGCAAAACAGATCAATGAATTTTAATGCAATATTTTAAGAAAAGTATGTAGATATGATCCCAGATTCCACACTACAGCTAACATTTTAAAAAATTACAATTTGTTTGTTGAATTTTGTTGTGGAATCAAAGACTATCACAATTATCTAAATTGTCATTAAAGTACGCCTCCCAACAGTGATGCTAGAGTTTCTTCATATATTTCAACCAGAACATATAACAGATTAAATGCAGAAACTGATATTAAAGAAATTCACAAAAATGTAAAACAGTTGCCATTCTTTAACTAATTTTTTTTCTTTTGGAAAGTAGTTTTCACTTAAAATATTTTATTTATTTTTAGACGGAGGGGAAGGGAAGGAGAAAGAGTGGGAGAGAAACGTCAATGTGTGGCTGCCCCCTCATGTGTCCACCACTGGGGACCTGGCCCACAACCCAGGCATGTGCCCGGACCGGGAATCGAACCGGCGACCCTTTGCCTCACTGGCCCGTACTCAATCCACTGAGCTACAGCAGCTGGGGCTGTTTTTCATTTAAAAACGTTATTTATACTACCCTGTAATTAGTTTACTAGTTATTCCTTAGTGAATTAATATGTTTTATTCCAAATACAGTAACTATCAACAAATATAACCCATATAAACAAAAGTTATTTGGAGTCCTACATGTTTAAGAGTGTAAAGGGATCCTGACTAAATAGTTTGAGAACCACTACATTACAGTAATATTCAATACCCCATTTTTATTTATATCCTGAGTTACTTCTGTTGACTCTCACATATACAGCCATAAATGTTTAAAGTAAGCTAAAGAGAACACAGAACATAAACCTTATTTTCAGATGTACTATAATCCAATTAAGCATAAGATGTAGCCCCTCAAAAAAAGAAAAGCCAGGATAATTAGGTTAACAGAATGATATATTTGATGAGAGTAAGTACAGTAATATAATGTAACTAGAATACAGAACTTACACACAGAGACCAATGAGAACTTTCACTGTGCCAAAAAAAGAAGTGGTAGTGCACAGAAAACAGTCTGGGCTTCAGAGGGTTAATACAGTCCTTAAGTGAATTATCTATGGTAACAATTTTACTGGAGTTGGTTTCTAACCATCTAAACTTTGTTATCACCTTCAGCCCTGGCTGTTGTGGATCACTGGACTGAACACCTGCCTGCAAAGCAAGGGGTCGCTGGTTCAGTTCCTCCTGGTCAAGGCACATGTCTGGGTTGCACGCCAGGTCCCCAGAGGGGGGAAAGTGAGAGGCAATCACACACTGATGTTTCTCTCCCTTTCTCCTTCCCTTTTCTTCTAAAAATAAATAAAATCTTTTAAAAAATAAAATTGTCACCTTCACTAAAGGTTATTCAAAAAACTCTGTGAAACATAAATCTGTCAATAAAAGGCATGAAAAAATTTTTACTTAAAAATCTATTATTTTGAATTGTGCAATGCTAGTGATCTTTATTATTAGAATAAATACAATACGCTTTGTCCTGTAATAAACTACCAAGCTACAAAGTGCCATCCAGCAAAGGGAGTTAATGGCATTCATTAATTAGGGTCCTTTTTCAGTTTTTCTGGAGGTATAATTTATCGATTTAAATGCCTAGCACAAAAGCTTGTATAGGGCTGGTATTTAAAAAAATTATTGTTTGCTACAGAATTATAATGATCAATGAGCAATGGCAGTATATGCCAGGAATGATTAAGGTGGGCAGAAGCTTAAGCCAGGGCAAGTTTAGTTCTAAAAAAACACTTTCAAAGTCACACATCTGATCTTAGGAGGTATATACTGCATTTTACGTAAAAGGAGGAAGTATTTGTTAGTTTTATTTCCTCATATGCTGTAAGGCCTGAATTTGCAACTTCCAAATTAAGCATTTTTAAGCACTTTTTATCCTATTCTCATATCTAATTCCATGGTGAGAATTTTCAAGTTTTTCAAATAAAAAAATTTCTATTCGTGTTAGGGCAATGTGTGAAGCAGAGTCTAAGTACCAAATCAGAAAGAAGGATGAATACACCCAAGTTCACTGCGACCAGAATGTTTTAAGCTGAAACTAGTGTTTTACGCAGGTTTTTAAAAAGTAATGTTAGGTGGGGAAAACAAAACTCACATTCTACTATTCCACTAAGTAACATTCTTTTACTGATTTTTTGCAAAAACCAATTATTTACTAAAATATCATTTGATAACAATATTTAAATATTGTGTACTGCAACTACTTCCTGCTAAAGTATCCCATTTCAGCGACGTAAGTGCTACAGAAAACAAGTACTTCTCAAATCTCAATGATTTAACTCCTTCTTCCTTCCCGGCTGCACTCTCCACCCGTCCTCCCCACCCCCACGCCCAGAAAAATACTGTAGGTGCTGGGTTTTCAGAACTCCACATTTCGAGGTGGTTGTAGGGGAGGTGAGGGACGGGACAAGGAGATTGGGCTTACTATCCCATTCTGCCCGAGTGAAACAAACCCTAGTTGTCAAATCATCTAATGAATAATGCTAAAAATCGAGAATCTAATTCCCCTCTGCTCGCAGAGACCTCATTATGTCCTTCGCTGAATCTATATCTACTCTAGGGGGACTCTACCTGTGCCCAGACCCTCATATCCCACCCGAATTACTCTATGACCTTGGACTCAAGCCCCCGGTCCGGTCTCAGGCTAAAGACTGAAACCATGATCCCTAGGTCCCCGCCTCCGCAGACTGCAGAGGCCTCCGGGTTCAGGCCGGGTCAGCGGGCGGCGTCGGCGGTAGGGCAGCCAGCAGCTGGAACCGCAGCTCGGTGAAGGATCAGGGGAAACGCCGAGAAGCAAAGCCGCTGGGGGCAGAAACAAGGCCCGAGGCTACCTGCGGGCCACCGCCGACGCCACCCGTAGTCTCACTCAATAGATACACGCCACCTCGGGGTTCTGGCGCCCTAGCGGCCACCGAGGGAGCCCCAGCCTGACACGGTCTCGGTCATGGCCCCTTTTACTGCTGACCGTCCGTCAAGCAGCAGCAGGTGATGCAGCGACTAGGCAGCCGACACGGTCAGGTTGTTTGCTTACCTCAAGCGACGGCGTTTGGGAGCTGCCCACTGCCTCCCAAAGGCGCGAGGAACTGGGACAAGAGAAATAGGAAGAGGCGTGCGGGGCAACACGACACGAGGTGAGAAAGGAAAGGGGAGAGCCGTCCAGCCCTTTAGAGAAGCTGGCAAGAAGGAAATGTAGATGCAGGCGGCCCGACAGCAGGCGGCGGAGACAGTCGGGACGCTCGCGTACCTTCCTCACGCCTGGCGGAGAGTCTACGGGAGCCAGCGGTCCGCCTTACATCCGGGTACCGAGAGACACTCAGCTGCTTCTGCTGCGACAGCCACCTCCCCCGCGGCGCCCAAACGCCAAACTTCCGGCGACGACGGCGACGCCTCACCCGTCAGATGGGAGTTACCTGCAACTGTCTTGGGCGCGCTTGCGCAACGCTCTTCTTCAACCCTAACGGGTTCGACTGACGTCTCCTGAAGAAGATGGCCGCCACGCTCGCTGCGTGTCACGCAGTTTTTCACCCTGGCCGGGACCGCGGGGCGTCGGGGAAAGGCGAGCCAGCGTCCATGCCAGGCGCAGGCGCGGTGGGAGGCCTCGCGTGCGCGCACCGCGGGTGGGCGCTTTGCGGGGGGACGGCTACGCCCCCTGGCGGTGATCGATTGTCCTTCCTGGGGTCCTTTTTGGGAATAAAGCCGCCCGCGCCCCCAGCGGTGGTGGTTTGTTTTGGAAATACGTTGCCGCAGGTTCGTGTGCGGGTTGCAGGTAGTGTTCTCTGCCACCTCTAATTCAAATACCTTTAATATTATAAATGGGCCGATGTAAAGAAAAGGGGAGGTAATTGACCCTTCTCTCTCCTTCTGCTGCTTTGTACTCCACCAACTCCAAATTTACACTGTCCTCGTGAACGAGACAACAAGAATCCGTAAGAAGTTGTAGAATATTCCTCTAGGTGTAGTGATGGCGGGTGTTTAAACAAAGCTTTGGTTCTTCGAAGTCTCAAAGATAGAATTTAGGGTTCTACCACTAGGATTCGTGGCTCCCACACTGCCTTTGAACATTGTTTTCTATGCTACTCTCTATTTGCTGAACTGTAAGGATGGGATAAATTGTGCTTTAAGTTTAGTCTGGCAAGAGTCTATAGTTTAAAAATAGAAAACAAAAATTGGGCCCTGGCTGGTGTAGCTCAATGTGTTGAGTACGGGCCTGCGAACCAAAGGGTTGTGCGGCTTCAATTGCCGATCGGGGCCCATGCCTTCTCTCTCTCTCTTTCTCTTTCCCTTCCTAGATAGATAGATAATTTGGTTTTGATGGGTGAGGCCATTACCCTCATCATCATACGTTGTTACTTGTAAAAAACCTGCCTACTCAACCCACTCCCATTCCCCAGTTCCTGATACATATACTTTGGTGGCATATGCCAAATGGCTTAAAATGGGAGAAAAAGTGCAGTAATAGACTGCCGACCTGATTAAAGCTGGTTATCTACCAGAGTATCTGGCCTACATTTGCCTTTACCTTTAGATTCAGACAACTGGTGGGATTTCTTTTCCTCTAAACCACTTATCTTTAGTGACTCAAATATTGCCATACAGACACACAAACCATATTTACACGTTTACCTTCCCACAAAATGGGCCTCTGCTTCTGAGTGATCTACTCCACATTATTTGTTGTATTGGCCACAATAAGAAGCATAGGATACAAATATCAGACCATAGGAAATCATTGGTACTTTTTTTGTGTTTTTAATTTTTTTTTAAGATTTTATTTATTTTTAGAGAGAGGAGAGGGAGGGAAGAAACATTGATATGTGAGAGAAACATATACAGGTTGCCTCTCACATGCCCCCAACTGGGGACCTGGCCCTCAACCCAGGCATGTGACCTGACTAGGAATGGAACCAGCGACCTTTCGGTTTGCAGGCCAGTGCTCAATCCACTGACCTGTACTTATTTTTGACACATCATATTTGATGTATAATTCATGTATGCAACTTATTCTTGGATTTTTCTTTTCTAAGACTAAATACAATCAGCTTCTTAAACATGCTGTGAAAGTATAAAATAGTTTGATTTTACAATATCATGTTACAAATTTTGAAGTTGCTAAGATACTATATTTTAATTGTTCCTACCACAAAAAAGAAAGTATTGTGTGGCATGATGGATGTGTTGCTTACTGTGTTAGTATATTGCAATATATAATTGTATCAAATCAACATGTTGTGTACCTTAAAACTGTACATTTTAAATGTCAGTTATAGCTCAATAAAAATACATTTTAAAAACATTTTGCTGTTATGGAAAAAAGTAACTTTCTCGAGTATTATTCTTTATCATTTTAAAAGACATTTTTCACTTCTGATTCATTAACACCAAAGTTCTCAATTTATAGTTTGATTAAATATTAATTCTGTAATATCATGTTTGACAAAATTTGTTTTGCCTTCCATCAATGGTTTTCTTTTAGAGCTGTCTATGAACTTTAGAATTTGGTGTATTTGATTTGGTTGTCTACTAAAAGATAATCATGATCAAATGAATAAATTATTTTGCTTGACTGAACTTCCAAAAATTATATAGCTCACGGTCAACTGATCCCAGTAAAAAGAGAGGCCTCCCTACCTCAGAGCTCCTGAGAAAGGCCTTGCGGAGAACTTGGATTGGTTCACTGTTTGCCATGTGCTCATGTTAAAAACAAATGCTGTGGCCAGATGACATACCTTGGCACTTAACATATGGTTCTGTAAATTGTAATATTTGAACTGCAACGATCCCTTTTTCACAATCCCTACACAAAGAACTGAAAGTCCTCACTTGAAGTTTCTCTTGCTAAACTCAAAATTGAAAATGTCATATCCTGGATTTAAGAAGTTTGTTTTTCTTCCTGACTCCAAACTGCATAATGTACTTTTCTACACTTGCTTATCATTAGAATATCTACTTATAAAATCTAGTAATGGATTAATGGCATTCTCCCACACATAATATTCTCTTGTTAATTTTCTTTTTTGTGAAAAATCGATAATGTCTGTAATATATAAAACCTCTGCTAACTCTCAAAAGACCGGATAGTCTTACTTGCAGGCTGACACTCCTGCTAGCAGCGAAAAAAGGCTTTTTCTTTGTTGTTCCACTCTTGTTGACTTTATTTCAGGACTCTTGACAGTTTTATAAAATGAGAGTAAAAATTCTAAAAAAAATTCAAGGTAGTAAATGAAAACAGAAAAACTATACCAGTTTGGTATAAATCACCTGACAGTGACATTTCATTTTGCCGTCTTCCGAGAGACCCACCACTAACACATAGAAGTAATAATGCTGGCCTCACATACTTGAGAGGGGATAAGTAGGTATTAGCCAGGTTAAAGAACTGAATGTAGAAAAGTCTGGAGAAGACAGTAAGCTTAGTGAGCTGCTGGAATTCAAATATTCCAATTCTATTGAGGGGAAAAGTAGGAAGCTCAAAGTAGGAAGAGCCTTAAGGATAATTGAGGGAGGAGTATCCTGTGCTCAATGCTAGGAGCAATGCAATGAACAGTACACACTTGCAGCATTCATTCTAATGAGGGAAACATTTAGTTTTTTCAAAAATATTTGAGGTCCCACTGTGTGCCAGGCACTACTCTAAATGATGGGAATGTAGAAGTGAACAGAACATTGAGCACCGGCCTGCGAACCAAAAGATCGCTGTTTGATTCCCCGTCAGGGCACATGCCTGGGTTGCAGGCCAGTTCCCAGCAGGGACCGGTTCCCAGCAGGGGATGCACCAGAAGAAACCATACATTGATATTTCTCTCCTTGTCTCCTTCCCTTCTAAAGATAAATAAAACTTAAAAAAAAAAAAGAGGTGAACAGAACAGATACAATTCCCTGACTTCATGCAGTTTACATTCTCATGTCAGACAATAAATAAGTAAACAAATAGTTAAATACAGAGAAGGAAATAAATATGGTGATTAACAGAGCAGCACTGTCTAATCAAACTTTCTCTGAGGATGAAAATGATCTGTATCTGCACTGTCCAAAAGAGTAACCATATCCTCATATGGCTATTGAGTGATTGAAGTGTGGTTATTGTAACTGAGGAACTAAATTTTTAATTTTACTTAATTTTTATTTAAATAACCACATTTAGGCACTATTTTTAATCAAGGGAGTCATCATGGGATTTGTTTTTTTACAACTCTTAAGACTTGTTCTTCTCTTAGAGTTTCCAAACACTACTACTCCACTCACATCCAAAAGTAAAGAGTATTCTCTGCAAAGGTCTGATTGATCGGTCTATACGCCAAGCCCACTGTGGACAGTAATGGATTGTGATTCTTAACATAAGGGTAGAGTCAGCATCCTTAGGACCCCATGAATCACCAGGAGGTTATTGGAAACTGTTGGGGAAAAAAAGGGGATAGGTGTTGAGAAGGCAGCACACAAACGTGTATTACAGTCTTGCTAATGAATTATGGTCCATGGACTAGGGGCATCTTCATCAACTGAAGATTCGTTAGTGTTTTAAAAAATTCAACCAAGTAAATTTAAGGATTGAATTGGCTTTATTAAGCATGCAGAGATTACAACTGATCTGAGAGATAGAAGCAAACTCTTTTCTTAAATAGTATTACATATATTAGGTTCAGAGGTTTAAGATTATGACTAGCTGTGCACTTGTATGTGACTAGTGTTGGCTATCAGTTTGGTTATAACAAAGTTTCATAAGGGTGTGTGATATTCTATACTAAATTGTATCTGAGAGAAACCACGAAACCCGAGGTCAGTGTTGGCGTAGCTGTTTAGCTGTTTTTCATCTTAAACTTCAAAGTCAGTGTTGTAGGGTTTTTTTTTTCATTTAGCGTTGAAAATGGCTGGAAAAATACATTGATTTGATAATCCAAGATGTGTTGAGGAACTTTAGCGAATGCTGTTCAAGTCATTTGTCAAAATATTATTGCAAGTATTGTGAAAACTATGCCTTGAGCATACTCAATATTTTTTGCGATAACTATGACAAATGGTTTGCAAAACCAACTATTAAAGATTCTGATCACTAATGTTAAAGACATTTTTAATTGTATTTTTCAGCAATACCCATATTTCTGTTATTTGAAAGAAAAATTTTAATTTATGTTTTTATTTTTTAATAATTTCTAGGTTGTAACTGAAAATAAATTTTTAATCATGTATTTTATTATATTTACATAGTAAATCCCAATTTGCAGTGTTTAAATTTTTTTTCTCATTTTAGCACTTAGTGGTAATGAATGTATCTCTCAGGTACGTGCAACTTGTGCTGTAATTTTTTTGACTGTGACCTCTAGAGGGTTAAGTGATTCATGAATTGGGCAACATCTTATTTAGCAACTAGAAGGACACTGTACAAAATGGAAGCAGGGTGGGGCATGTAAGCTATTTGTGAAAGAAAAGAAGCCAGGATATCTTTGAGGGAAGAGAAGTGGGAGGGTTGTAAACATATAGATTGCCTCTTCTTTCTAGGGAGAATTGAGATAGCCTAGGTGACAGGACAGACTGCTGATCCTTGACCAGAGAATTCCAGACTGGCTAATTATGTTTCTGGGAGAGATTGAAACTGCAGTTAAATCAGGTATTAAATCTAAATTTGGT